TATGGTCACTCTGTAATCTTTTGGCCTTGTAGTTGATCTCCTTTTTCCTTTTTGCCCTTTTCTTTGCATCTAATGAATTGTGAAGACATGCTTTTACCTTTGTGAAACAGTCAGTATAACACTAGGCTGGGGCAAATAGATTTTAGTGTCCATGGTACAACTGTCCTGCACTGTAGAATTGATGATGGCTATTTCTTGTGTTCACTGCTTCTCTATGCTTAGATTGAGCATCACAATTTTTCTGTTTTTAACAGGTGAAAGAAAAATCCACAGATGCGATTGAAAAACCCACTGGTGTTTTGATGTACTCCTTGGCAAGCAGCAATATCAAAGATGAATCACAGATCAAGTTTGTTAGTAACTACATTGCAAACAAGAAGTTGGCATCTGCGATACAACTGACAGGTATGATGTTGCTATCTAGCGAAAGAGAGGGAGGAGAAGCTGGGATTGATCAGATTTTTTATTATATCTCTGAATTACTATGTGCATCATGATTGGTCAGTTCATTAAGCCTTTTTTTACTATATGGTGTGCTAAATCAAAAAGTGTGTTTAGGTCAAAATCTACCCCCTCTAATTTAATTCAGAGATAGAAAAAAAAAATCTTTAAGTTACTAACCTTGTTTTCTTGGTCCATACTGTAAATTAAGTGTAAGTAGTGTAAATATTTTTAAGAAACAACTGAAAAAGTATCTTTTTAAACAAGCATACTGTTAACTGTGTGAACATTTTTAGACTATGTACTATATAGATTTTTTATTGCTTTTTAATTTATTGTTAAATATAATTTTGTTTTCATTTTGTAATCTAACTATCATATTCTCTGGGGTTTCTTTTGATATTTTTTAAATTTATTGCAAAGTGCATTAGATCATATACTTATAATGAATTTTATGCGATTAAGTGTTAAATTTATTATTATTATCATCATTATTATTACAGAACATGGTTTTTTTTATGCTGGGATTTTCCCCAATGGAATTTGTTTGACTGGTGCAAAAAAAAATTGGTCATAAGTTACAGTACAGACCTTGAATTTCGTGATTAAGAAGTACTTATTGTTTAGTTGGTGATTAGTTATTTCGAAGGTGTTTCAGGGGATTGATAAATTTGATGGTACTGTCTGATTGTCTGAGTAAATTGAGAAGGACTGCAGTTGGTGGAAGTGACTGACATTTTAAAAATCATTGTGGAGGTCATCATCAGAATGGAGACAAGATGAAGACTTCCCCTGGGGTTGTCAAAATATCATGAACTGATATGAACCTTAGTACTTCTCCAGACTGCCTTTGTCTGATTGGGCAATATAAATAAATTCTACCCCTGGGTTCAATCAGTTAATTAATATTCATATCATGTGTTACTTTTATTTCATCTTAGCTGCGGTGGATTTTATGAAGGCCAATCCAGTTTTGCCTGTTGATGTGGCTGCCTTTGAAAAAAATTGTGGTATTGGAGTAAACATCACACCTGATCAGATTAAAGACTGTGTAAGTAAGAAATTGAAAGATTTGATTTACTCTTTTAAAGTAGCTCACATCAGTTTCACTTAACTTACTTGAATTGCAAGGTACTGTATATCAGTTGAAAGGGAGAATCACTTACATGTATTACAACTTAACCCTTTAACCTCTAAGAGTGACTAGCATCTAATTTCTCCTTACAATATCACCCCTGAATCACACAATAATGTCATGAGAATAAGGGAAATGATCATTAACAAAAGAAACTCTTGATTACAAAACAAATTCTCCATGTCAGCACCTTGAGAAATGTATGATGAGCAGTATGGAGAATATGTCTACTGATGTTAGGGTGTAGAGGGTTAATAATACCATTACTAATACTAAGGATTAAGATAACACTCATTTTAGGGACTTTTTGGTTTGATTTTATTTGCCTTTTTTTTTCCACAAGGTTGAAGAACTTATCAAGAAACACAAGGAAGAATTGTTGAAGAAACGCTACAAATTCAATGTTGGAATAATAATGGGTGAGTTTAGAATGAGACTTTATTCTTTCACAGTGTCTAATGAGCCCCTTTCTCCAATGAACCTTCTCAAATGAGTCCCCTCTCTCATAAGGCCTCCCTCCTGTAAATAGTCCCACCCTACTAAGCCCCTCTCTGACAAGCCCCTCTCAAATAAGCCCCTCTGTAATAAGGCCCCCTCTAATGTGCCCCTTGTCTGGAAGCCCTGAAAATTAAAAATCCTCTTGTGAGCTTATTCAATGGATATTGTTTGTTTTAGTAAAGATATATGACCTGTTTTTACTTTGTTTGAAATTTTAGGAAAGGCAAGAGAGAAGTTGAAGTGGGCAGATGGAAAAGCTGTGAAAGCAGAAATTGATATGCAGGTTTGTGGTACAATAGCTTGCTATAAATCAGTCCTACTGTCTGCCTGTCATTCTGTATGTCCATCAGTTGTCACTCCATCTGTCAGTTTTGCCAGGAACATCAAACTCACACCAGGTCAAAGGAAGCCTTCACTGCTGACAGGAATAAGTTGCCCTTAGACTGAAGAAAATGTCCTATATTAGATAGAAGATCCATGATTACTGTCACAAGTAGAGACTACTATATTATGAACATTTTTTGAAAGAAAGTTATAGAGAACCATGCTCCAAAATGTTAAAAAAAACAGAAAAATATTGATGTTTGAATGTTATGGACTTATCTTTTGGAAGGTTTGATTTCACACAGGTGTAACTATTAATATTTAACAATGACTCTTTTGTTGGATGGTATTTATTTTTGGTATTTTGACTCTTTTACAGATCTTAGATTTGCTTGGACCTAAAACTGAAGCAGACATGCAGGCTTTCAAAACAAAGGTGACATAACTAGAGACTTGTATTTATAGCATCATATTTTAAAGTTTCCACCTTAATATAACCAAGTGCATAGAACCAGACAATGAGTGGCGTAAACAATTGATGGAGATGGTTTATAAGTCACTCTCAGGGGGCAATGGGTTACCCCTTTAACTCCCATGAGTGACCAAGACAGAATTTCTCTTTACAATATCAATACCATATCAAGCAAACAAATATCAGTTAAAGGATTATGAGTTGATCCAATACCAAATTCTCTGAACACAAATCACAAGAACTGTATGGGAGATAGTGAGGAGGATTACTAATGACATCTTGGGAGTTAAAGAGTTAAGGATAATTTATATATAGTAACCATTTTTCAAACAATATTGTATGATTTGAAGTTTGGTCCTTTTACCCTCTCAGAGTGATTAGCATGTAATTTCTCCTCATAGTATCATCCTTTTACCCTCTCAGAGTGATTAGCATATAATTTCTCCTCATAGTATCATCCTTTTACCCTCTCAGAGTGATTAGCATGTAATTTCTCCTCATAGTATCATCCTTTTACCCTCTCAGAGTGATTAGCATGTAATTTCTCCTCATAGTATCATCCTTTTACCCTCTCAGAGTGATTAGCATGTAATTTCTCCTCATAGTATCATCCTTTTACCCTCTCAGAGTGATTAGCATATAATTTCTCCTCATAGTATCATCCTTTTACCCTCTCAGAGTGATTAGCATGTAATTTCTCCTCATAGTATCATCCTTTTACCCTCTCAGAGTGATTAGCATATAATTTCTCCTCATAGTATCATCCTTTTACCCTCTCAGAGTGATTAGCATATAATTTCTCCTCATAGTATCATCCTTTTACCCTCTCAGAGTGATTAGCATGTAATTTCTCCTCATAGTATCATCCCAGAATCAAACACTAAGGTTATGAGAAAAGAGGAAATGATCGTCCACTAAAGATCTGTGCTGGGTTGTTCAAAGCTGGGTTAAGGTAACCCAGGGTTAGTGTGAAATTTGCTTTCAGATCTGAAAGCTGTAAAAGAAAATTCAGTACTATTCTTTTTGTCTACAATTTGATGATTGGATGCCCAAATAAGAATAAAGGTAATTATCTGAAAAAGGCTTTTAAAAAAAGTGAATGAAGAAACTCAGATTAAACTTTTACCCTGGGTTAGCACTAAATGGACTTTGAGCAACCGGACCCAGAAGCTTCTGATTGTTAAAAAAATTCTTGTTTAGGAAATGTGTTGGAAACAGTATGGAGAATATGCTTACTGGTGTTAGGGTGTTAAGGGTTAATGTTATGGACTGTACATGTATTGATCATAGGAGGCCAAGCCCAGCAAAGAGGGAAAGCCAGCAAAAGAGTCTCGTCCTGCAGCTGTAGAGGTTTCATGATGAATAAATTAGTCATGGCGTGCAGACATATCTTTGCAGTCGTGCTTCTATTGACTATTTTCAGCGTTTTACTTGGCCAATTTACTTCAATTACACCTGAATTCGATCGCTCTACAGTTACACTCTTCATTGGGAAGGAAATATCTGCTCCACATACGTTCAACTGTAAGTCAAAGCCTTCGAAATGCACACCTTGCGAATTGAATTTGAAGCTTCACGCGTTGTTGCGGTTCATCAAGCTTGGCCAATTTTGTCTGTGCATTCTTCTATCTGGCGATATTGCCGTCAATCCAGGGCCTAATAATCTTCAACCACCTGCAGGCTTCAGAGGTTTATCAGTCTGCCACTGGAACATCCAACGACTGACTGACACCAAATTGGAAGAACTATCGCTAATGCTCACCTCGAACAACAACAGTGCTGCTAAACTCGACGTCTTAATTCTCACTGAGACGTTCGGATCAAGTAAAATTCCAGACAGCTATTACATGATACCCGGCTACACATTACACAGAAAAGATCGAATCGGGAAGAAAGGTGGCGGCATATTTGCGTATGTAAATGAGAAAGTTATGGCTTTACGTCGAAGAGATTTGGAACTGGATGATCTTGAAACTCTCTGGCTTCAAATTTGTCCTCATAAATCAAAGAGACCGATTTTGATATCTGGTGTTTACCGTCCACCTTCAGCCAACAAAGATTATAATGAGAGCTTGGGTAAAAATATTGAAAATGCCCATCTCCAAAACAATGAATTGATTATTCTGGGAGACTTTAATTTGGATTATATTGATTTCAACTGTTATTCAAAACATTGTCTCGCAAAGGCACTGAACAGTCTTGGACTAACGCAGATGGTAAATGGGGTAACAAGACCTGCCTCTGATGCGTGCTTAGACCATATTTATTCTAGTCATCCTGCTAGAATTAGAGAAGTATCCATAGGTAAATCTGGACTTTCCGATCACCTTCCGGTCACCATCTTGAGGTGCTACAAAACCATGGATGCACAACGTAAACAACATTCCAAAATCAAATACAGAAATATCGACAAAATCAACAAAGAGTGCTTTCTGCGAGACCTAAGAGAAGCCCCTTGGGATATCTCCTTTGTTTTTCGAGATGCCGATGACATTGTTGAATCTTGGTACAAAATCTTTAATGACATTCTTGATAATCACGCACCTTTAAAGTCCAAGAGTGTGAAGAAAATCAATCAGCCAAAATGGTTCACTAATGATCTATACAACGAAATAAATAAACGCGATAATCTTCTAAAGAGGGCCAGGAGAACACAAAATAAGCAAGATTGGTCTGCTTTTAAACTGGTTAAAAACAAAGTGACGAGGAAACTAAGAAATGCGAAGGAACAGTACTTTAAAACTCAGTTCAGTAAAAATCAAAAATGTCCAAAGAAACTTTGGTCTTTAATTAAAGACCTATCTAAAGATACAAAGAATAACGACGACTCCGTCCCTATTGCTGACGAAAACAACAACCTGATAAAGGATGACCATTCAATCGCTGAACGCTTTAACCGCTTCTTCGTTGATGTATATAAACGTCTCATAAAGTCGACACCTGTACTTCATTATGATGCTCTTCCTGGTCCACCAGACAAATCTAACAGTCAAATTGAAAATCTTATTCCGCAAATAACTCCTAGTGAGGTTAACGATTATCTTCTAAGTATACCTACACACAAAGCCACGGGAATCGATGGGCTTGGTGCCAGAGTTCTAAGGATTGCAGCTCCTGAAATATCATGCTCCATAGCTAAAATTATAAATCACTGTATTGAAACTTGTACATTTCCCTCACAATGGAAAATAGCAAAGGTTAAACCTCTTTTCAAGAATCAAGGAAACAAGCAAGATATTCAAAACTATCGTCCTATTAGCATTTTGCCTATTCTTTCTAAAGTCTTTGAAAGACACATCTTCAATGCTGTGAACACCTACTTAACAGAAAATTCACTTTTATACCGCTTCCAATCAGGGTTCCGTAAAAACCACTCCACGGATACTGCTTTGTTGTTTCTTCTGGACCAAGTCCTTCTTGACCTTGATAAGAACAACGTCAGCGGCTTAGTTTTTGTGGACTATAGCAAGGCATTCGACTTGATCAATCATGACATTCTCCTGGTAAAGTTAAGATCATATAGATTTCCAGATAATGTTGTAAAGCTATTGCAGAGCTATCTACTCAATCGCAAACAGTGTGTTACTGTAAATAACTCGACTTCGTCACAACTTACGCTAACCAATGGAGTTCCTCAAGGTAGCATATTAGGACCTCTACTGTTTTTAATTTTCGTCAATGATCTTCCCGAAGCTGTTGGATCGGACTCAACTATTCATGCTTACGCGGATGACACCACATTTAAAGCCAGCGCTAATATCGATAATGCACCTTTGGAATTGGAACGACGTCTTCAAGAATACATGGATAAATTAAGTAAATGGTCTAGCGAAAATGGGATGGTCCTAAACGCCGTTAAAACCAATGCATTACTTATCACCGGAAAGAGGCTACATTCATCATTAGCGGATGGCAATCACCTGTCAATAACCCTTGATGGGGCCGAAATAGAACAAGTAACTTCTTATAAATTGCTTGGTGTAACACTCGATCAAGATCTTACATTTAGCGACCACATTTCTAGTCTAAAGGCCAAGCTTTCTCAGCGTATTGGTTTATTGAAGAAGATAAAGAGATACCTTCCAATAAAAGAAAGACTCTTATACTATAACGCCTTGATTAAACCCGTCCTTATGTATGGGAGCATGGTTTGGAATATCTGCGACGCTAAAGAACTCCACTGTCTCCTAAGGTTACAGAAAAGGGCTGCCCGAGTAATTCTTGGAGTTGACTCTTATTCTAGAAGTGTTATAAACTTTAGTAAACTAGGCTGGTTGCCTTTTTTTGATGAAATCAAACTAAATAAGTGTACAATGATTTTTAAGAGCCTTAAAGGCGATGTTCCGATTTACATCAGAGACTTGCTCAAGACGAACAGTTCTGTACACAATAGGTCTACTAGACATGGCAATTTAAATTTAGTGTGTCCCAAATACCTAAGAAATAACGATGGTGGCAAGGCATTCAGTGTTGACGCAGTTAAGTTATGGAACAGCCTTCCCCATAATATCAAAAATAAGCCTAGTATAAAACTATTCAAAACAGCTGTGAAAAAGTATTTTATAAGCTCATATAGAAACCTGGACAACTTTGAAACAATATTAAGCAATAGCACATTATCTAATTTTAATTTTTTATAAATTAATTTTATCTTTCTGAATATTTTTAATATATCCTGCTATTTCTATCATAGAATTTTGTAATTATTTGTATATTTATCTATTTATTAGTATTATTTTGTAATGCTGTATAATCTAGTTAGAGGGCCACAGGTTTGTCAGCTTTTCAGCTGTTACGTGTCCCCCTCTATAAATAAAGTCCTTATTATTATTGAATGGTGATACTGGAGATGATGAAACAAGTTCTTTGTTTGGAGAGGCAAGCAAGTTCCACAAACCAGGTGAATATACAGTAGATCAGGATACAGGCCACATTACATGGTTTGTGATCAGTTTTAATCTAATCTGTTTTCAGCCATGATACTCTGGCATGTATCTAATAATTCATCTTCATATTTTCCTCTCCTGTCTTATTATATCCCACCAAACTAAAATTTTTCAGTTTTTATAGTTTTGTGGTTGTAGCCAAAATTATTTTACCCTTTGAACTTTTAAAATGACTGGCATTTCTTCTTACAGACAATATCACCTCCAAGTCACACACTAAGGTCATGACAATGAAGGAAATGATCAGCTCTTGATTGTTGAACAAATTCTCCCCATCAGCACCTTAGGAAAAGAATAAGAACAGCTTATAGTGATTTGTTCTTGTGAAGGGCTAGTGCTCAGGACATGCAATTGACATCGACTCTCTTGCAGGTGACATGGCTGCTTTCATGTCAAAAGAAATGATACGAGGTCTGGGACTCACCGTGACAGAACTGATGCTCGCGCGAATGACAGCAATCAGATATGCGGGCAAGAAAGACAAGCCTGCACATCTGGTGGATATGATGGTTTCGCTTTGGAGTCGACTTCCTGACCATGACGCCCCTGGAAGCCGAACAGACAAAGGGGTTCAGACTGGCCAGCTCTTCCCACTGGGATCTCGTGATAGCCTCTGCTCCAGACGACGGGGAGGACAGCAGTTCAGATGAGTCAGAACTCTCCGTCGGGTGGGATGCTGAAGAGGAGCTGGACCCACTTCCCGCCCGAGGAACCCCAGAGTACACTGAAACCGTGACAAGGCACATAGAAAATCTGCTGCAGTGTTACGTGTCTGTGCAGACAACGACTCAGGTAGGGTCTCTCCTGTGATTAAGAGCAAGTCAGTTAGTCAGTACACGAGCTTAGAACCCATTACTCCAAATGACCATAATACACGCATTTAAAGATCCTCTTCATCATGCAGGGCCTTGTTTTAGATGACCAACTAGATATATCTCACCCTTTTATAACAGGCACTGCAAGTCACAGCTGCGGAAGCGACACCCACATGAAGACCCAGTGGCAGCTCCGGCGGGGTCAGACAAAGACAGCAGACGACTCCCAGACGTGCCAGGACCGGAGCATCCCAGGTGTCCACAGAAGGGCCAGTAGCTGATGAGCAAAGACCGAGGGACCAAGAAGCGCAGCAGGAAGTACCACCAGATCCCCGGCAGCGTCTGCTAGCACTGCTGGGAATCATAGCCACACGCATACCCAACAGAGAGTCTTTGGACAGACTGCAAAAGTTCCTGCAAGAAAACCAACCTTGCAACCCACCACAGGTGAACTGAAATTTAAAAAATAAAGAACTGCACATTGACTGAATTGTTGTTGTTGATTGTCCAACATCATACATAGAGAGAAAAGCCCCACATTGTAATCTTCAGGTGTTAGAAAATAGGTACTCTAAAATACATGTAAGCATGGTTCCCAGCTCACACTTTATTATTTTTTATTCTAATTTGTAGACTTCCATGTTTATTTTTCTTTAATTTCTTGTTTCTGTGAGTGTTTTTTTGTGTGTTTCCTGAGTTTACATGCAGTGTCTACACAATAATTACAAAGTATCTTCTGACAAGCTAAATATTACATGAAATTTATTGAGAATTCTACTTTTCTAGGTGCAAACAAGATTTCCTCCTGAACCCAATGGCATTCTTCACATTGGTCATGTCAAAGCTATCAACTTCAACTTTGGTTATGCAAGAGTAAGGTTTGTGATACTGTATCACTTCAGAATGCTCTGATAGCTTTTTCTGATTGTTTAGTCTAATTGTCCACATAAGGGTAGTCTGGAGAAGGAATGTTTTGGTAGTGCTCACTGATGTTTCAACAACCTTAGTGGAAGTCTTCATGGGAGTGAAATGAACAGTTTTTGTTAGTTGAGTGGTAAAAGTAGTGTGGTTTATGGGGTGAAGTGATGGTCAGTTTTTGCAGTGATGATATTTGCTGTTAGATTCAAGTAGTATAAGTCTGTGGTGATTGGTAAGTTTTGATCTATTGTGATGTGAGGTTGTTCTTTTTGGTTTGTTGGTTAAATATGTAAAGTCATGAATAAGATGGTGCCATGTGCATTATATAATGTGGGGAGTGATGCAAGATTAGCTCAAGACATGGTGATTTGGAGGGACATTGTTAAGGCATTACCTGTGCCACTGGGCACAGTGAGGTCGAGTGTATGCTGCCAGTTATTGTTGAAATCTGTTGTATTTAACAGACTCCTGGCACTAAATCTCGTGTTTATGTTATCATCATTGTCATTTCTATTTTAACATTTTAAGATGTAATTGCCATTATAGTCATGATCGTCATTAAAGTCCCCATCCTCATTACCATCATGAATCTCATCACCATTATCAGTGTTATTGATATGTATTTATTATTTCCTATTAATTCTCCTCAGGCCCACAACGGTGTTTGCTACTTGAGATATGATGACACAAACCCAGAGAAGAAAGAGGAGAAGTTTTTCACAGGAATTTTGGATATGGTCAAATGGCTTGGTTAGTAAAATAGTTTTGTTAAGGAAGATTTCCAGGAAAAGCTCAATATTTTCTGTGGACATATCTCTCTTAGTTTTCCTCTTGTCAAGTTTAAGAAGTTTTAACTGTCATCAAAGAATTTATGAATGTGAATATATGAAAGTCATATATTTGAACTGTGGATAAAGAATTTATGCCCATCGTCAAAAATTAATCCTTTGATCCCTAAGAGGGAGGACATGTAGCAATATATCACACTTTAAGGTCACAAGAATAAAGGTAATGAACATGGACTAAAGAAGTTTTTTATTGTTAAATATTAAATTCTCCCAGTCAGCATCTTATGAAATGTATAGAGAAAAGTATAGAGAACATGCATACTGATGGCGGCATCTAAAGGGTTGATTCACAAATTTCCAAGTGGATTCATTTGCAATCCCTGTTTGATCATCTCTATCATTAGCCACATTTGATTCTTTGTGGGTTATTGATGCCTTTTTACTAACCAAGTTCAAGGTCTGTGCTGTAAGTTACAGATCAAGTCTTTTCTGTTGGGTTTTATGGGCCAATGGGAAAGTATGTGGGACATGTACCCTCTTGGAAAAAAACAAGGGTCCATAACTTACTTTACAAATTAAGAAAATGAGATTAGTAAGATATTTGTTTTATTTCTGGATTCAAATAGAGAGGAAAGATTTCAATTCAAACAAACTTTTGAATTTAGCAGGGTGCACCATGAGATACAGCCTACTAAATTGACCAATCATAGTGCACATGCTAACAAATTATTATCTCTTTATTGTTCTCCTTCCTAACTAAACCAAAATTGAATTGTGTGTAGCTTCTCCACCAGACTTTGTCATCACACTTTCATTTGTTTTTTTTGTTTTGGTTTTTTTGGTTTTTTTCAGGTTTTGAACCATGGGAACTTGGGTTAGAAAACTGGCTGAGATCATTTTATTTTGTCCTGGGCTAGATTCTTACAATAACTTGTTCCCAGCTCACACTTTATTATTTTTATTGTAATTTACTGTTTGAGACCATTTTTGCTGCAACACAATATGTTTAGAAATGTTTTTCTGTCCTACTGTGATTATTGTGCTATTGCAACTACTGAAATTTGTTTTGTTTTTTTTTTGTTTTTTTTTTTTAGGTTTTGACCCATGCTTCAGACAATTTGGAAAATTGTATGATTTTGCTGTAGAGCTCATCAAAAGGTAAACATTGATCACATTGATGTGCATCTATAGCAACAAATCTGCTAGTCAGAGTAATGACAAATTTTTTTTTTTTTTTCATCAACTTTGTGATGATTTAGGGGACAAGCATATGTCTGTCACCAGCAGTATGAAGAAATCAAAGGCCACAATCCCCCACCCAGCCCCTGGCGGGACAGACCAATAGAGGAATCACTGAGGCTGTTTGAGGTTT